TTGGTGGGCCAAAATAGCTAGTGAAATGGAGGTAGCTGCTGCATCAGGGAATAGTCAAAGGCTATTTCACCTGATACGCAGCACCGGAGGTCGTCGCATACCGGCAAGTGAGACCATCTGCGATAAAAATGGACAGAGTATCCACAATAAAGAACAACGACTTGATCGCTGGGCAGAATGTTTTAGTGTACAGTTCAATTGGCCCAGTGCTAATGCGATCATTCCAGCGATTGGGGCGGAAACCCCATGGGTGGTAGGTAACATACGAGCCCCCATCAGAATAGGAAGTACATTCAATCGTTAAAGAAAGGAAAGGCAACCGGACTTGATGGACTGCTCCTTATTCTTTTCAAGGTGGGCGGTGATTCTCTTGTTGACTCAATTACTAGCTTGCTTCACAGCATTTGGACGGAGGAGCGTATCCCTTTATCCTGGATTCAATCGTTGATCGTTCCGATCCTCAAGAAGGGATCCCGCAACCAGTGCGCTAACCACCGTGGGATTACTTTAGTTCCGATAATCACAAAAGTGTTGACTTCTGTGATACTTCACCGTCTAACACCCGTAAGGGAGAGGAATATCTGCGAACAACAAGCCGGATTTCGACCAGATCGCGGGTGCATCGACCAAATCTTCACTCTGCGTCAAGTCCTCGAACTGCGTCACACACATCGTCGGCCAACGATCGCAGTGTTCCTTGACCTAAAAGGACCTTTCGATTCAGTTAACCGTAGCAGCGCTGATGTTTGATGGTCAAGAATTAGCTGTAGTGGAATGTTTCACCCACTTAGGTAGTTGCGTTTCAAATGACGGTAGCTTAGTCAATGAAGTAACCGCCCGCATTTCCAAATCTCGAGCACCTTACGCAGGGTTGAAACACCTTTGGTGCAGACGCGATGTTTCGTTGAAACTGAAAGGTCGTTTATACTGCGCCAGTTCTGCTCCATGGTTGCGAGACCCTAAATTTGCGCGTGGAAGTTATTCGTCGTCTTGAAGTATTCGACTGCAGATGTTTACGTAGTTTGTCGCGGGTTGTATGGAGCGAGCTTGTGAGCAACTCTGAGGTGAGGCGTCGTGTATTTGGTAATGATTCGATGGAGAATTCGTTGTCCCATCGAATTCAAATTAGTCGGTTTCGCTGGTTAGGACACGTATTACAAATATCCAGCCATCATCTGCCGCACCACGCCTTATTCGCAGTTGCGGCTCCAGGTTAGAAGAAACCGCGTGGAGGTCAACAGATGACGTGGAAGCGAGGCATGAAGAATTGCACAGAGCGATTAGGTAGAATCGGTGTCTCCCGTCTTCCAGGTTGGAGACATTAAGGGATATGGCAACTAGCCGATAACAGTGGCGTTCTTGTTGTAATTCCTAACAAGTCGGAATGCTTGAAAATGTATGCATGAACACTTAGATTGTGTATTCTGTGTGTTGAAAATAGAGGTTTCTTTTCTTTGCCTTCCTCCAAGTAGGCCCAATCCCTCTCCATCTTGTGCTTTATCACTTGATTTGTGTACATTGTGAGCTTGGCAGTGATCAGTTTTAGGTTTATTAATAATTTTTTATTTGAATCTTCCAGACAGTATGTGCTCCAGATCAAGTGCCCATGACCGAGAAGCACCTGGACCCGAGGGCGTAGAAGTCAAACGTGGCGAATACAAAAAGATGGGCCTTTATGACTTCGTCAGGAGAGATATTGAACGCTTTCATGCTCACCCGGTAAGCTGAGTGTAGTAACGAAACATGGTTAACATGTTAAGGAAGAAGCCATTGTTTCTCCTGAACTTCTAAAGTCCAAAGATTTGAAACCGCCCCCGGAATTCGTCAGGAATGTTTGGGGTACCTCGCATTTGCATTTTCTCTCAATTTGTCAACAACAGGTTCCGCCGCTGGAGTTGGCAGTGGGGATTTTCACATATATCGTGGTATTCGCCGCCGAGAGTATGCTCGTCTCGAAGCTATCGAACAGTCTGCCGAAGAGGTTTGTGGATTCACTACTTTTCACGATTATCTGATCATATCTTTTATCAGGAGCGCTTGAATCAAGAGTTTCAAGAAAGACAGAGACAGTTAGATGCGCTAGCTGAGGCAAAAACAGCCAGACGGCGTATGAAGCGTCAGAAGAAAAAACTCAAGCGACTAAACAGTGAGTTTTTTCACTACCGTTGTTAACCGTCCACTTTTTGGAGAGCGAACCCAGTTGAAAACAACGGACTCCAATGAAAAGGTTGAATCTGGTTCGGACTCGGAAGACTCACAGCATGCAGATTAATCTAATTTGGTATCGTTCCGTTTTTTGAAGACGTCCGTGTACAGCAAATGGTTTCACTCATTGTAAATAAATGTGAGGCGCTTTGGGCCCGAGTTGTGCGCTGCCACAGACGCCCACCTGCGTGCAATTTTCGCTGATCTTCGTTCTTTTTCGAATTATGACACGGGAGGCAAGAGTTCTATCGTGAATTACTGTCAGAAAAAGCGTCAGATTCAGTTTCGATATATATATATATATATATATATATATATTAAAATTTCTGGTGGCGGTTTTAACAACTGTATTTTGCATCTCATTCATTGAAGGAATAGAGGGAAAAACTAGAATGCGGGAATCAGTATTAGTGTGAAGATACAGAATTCAGGNCTAGTGGTTGCTCAAGTCTGACCGTTTTCGTCACTCGCTGCCGATTGTACTGGTCTTGTGGTCATCAACGTCTAACGCAGACTAATGGTCCAAGTCTCCTAATCATGGTTCGCACACCCGCATTATAGGTTTTTGTTTGATCGCTACTAACTCTTTTCCATTCATTACTCGGCAAACATCCCAATCTTTTGGGTGACATGCGTTTCACACTCCTGTCAACATAATACATGGATTACGAACACTTGCTCCGGTGAGCCACTGCGATTATATAAAGTTCCGTGAATAACCTCAGCATTACTCGTTCGGATGCCCCTACAAACTTATGCAATGTGATTTTCGAACACCATCATCACTTTCCCGTAACGGCCCAAACAACAGCATTAGTCGGGCTGTTGCAGAATACACTCCACCCTTAGCAGTCAGCCGAACGTCAGGACGGTGCCATAGATGCCCCAGTTTGGAAACGCTAACCAAACCTCCCGTATGTCTGTCGAAGCGCAATCCGAGATTTATCCACCAAGTGAAATGTAGCTACCTAAGTGACGGAATTTCTATACTTTCACTGTTTCTTCTGCAATTTGAGTGAGGTTGACAGATGGATCAATTCAGTCCTGCAGCAACATTGTGAAGACCCGAACAAACACACTAACCTTTCCCAGCCAGTATAATGTTATACGCATAATCCAGATCAGATAAGTTACTACCTTGGGCGGTGGTAACGTCACCTAATTATCACCCCGGGGATGTGTGTTCGAATCCCACCACCACCGCCTGACTTTACCCATTGTGTGTTGAATGGCAGCCTTTGATTGGCCGCTTCTCCTCTTCCTGAGAATTGTACCATTGCATGTTCAATAAAAGGAAGTAAAATAAAAAGAAAGAAGAAAATCGGCGCTGCCATCCCCGCACGATGACAGCTGTTTTCAGAATTCAACATATTACAAAGTTGAATAGAAAGGAGAAAGATAGCGACTCTGGAGAACGATGTTCTCCTTTGTTAATGTATTAGGGTTCACTGATTGATACTGTGGATGTCTCTGGCCACTTCGGCCCTGTCGGATGCTTAAGTAACTAATATCTGGGATACTCGATATGCTGCTCTGTTCAGAACTTCAAGATATCAGCTTATTTGGAGTTTGCAATTTCGCTGGAAGGTGATGAATAACCAGAGAAAAAGTTCGGAGGGTTGTGACTACTGTCAGTCGTCCTCTTCAATTACCATCATTATTATACAGTGCACTTCGGTAGTTGTTGTC